ATCAAATAAATTTCAATTATTATTGTACAGTATATACAAAAGCTACAGAAGTGCTCACAAATATTGAGAGATTTATTGATAGATTAGTGGCTCCGGGAGATGACAAATGACAAATTCATTTCGCAAATTTTCATATCTCATAATTTAGCGCAAACTAAACCACTTAATAAATATAGCTATATTATCATTCACTATACTGTTTATAATATATGATAAATAAATAAGAAATTGAATATAACTTTCTCTTTATTGTTGTGTTTTATGTTTGGTATGTATGTCTCGTGACAACAAAATTTTAATTCATATACTTTATTATGTTTGATACGAGTGATAAATGTCCACAAATTTATCGTAGAGATAGAAAAAATTAAAGAAATATTTGTATAGATATTGTTTTAAGTTTATACTTCTTATGCATAATTTATTCCTTGAGGTTAGAAATATGTCTTATACTTCTATATTATTATTTCTATTATTATTATTAAGTTATATATAAATTTAAAAAATAATGTTTTACATAAATATGCACTAAAGACATGACATCACATATGGATGCAGAGCTGAAACAAATTATTACATAACTCGATATCGATTTGTGTATGCGTTTTGTTAATATCAAAGACATCAAAAATATAACCTTATATGTGATACATACTGTATAAGACATACAAAACGGAGTTTCTGTATATGAAAGCTTACGATCAAAGTTTTTTTATGAAAGCCAGTAATGAATGAAACAAAATACATATCATTTATTTAAAAGTAAATACTTATTTTCACTGCAAAAGTCATGACAAATGACTGTTGAAAATAAAATCTTATAAAAGTCATGACTTTATTATATTAGAAAAATGATTTCATTGCAATGAAAATGTCAGCAAAAAAATAAATTAAGCAAAACTATGTTATGCACAATAGCAATGTTATAATCAGCAAATTATTTCAATTTATTTATTTTTTTGCAAAAATAAACAAAACAAAAACTAAATCAAGTCTTATTCTAAAAATATATTTTCATTTATAAATTTTTAATATTTATTTGTATGTCTTATTTTATTTCTTATGAAACACTTTTTTCACTGCTTGAAACAAATATATAAATGTAAAATGATATGTAAATTGATATGATATTATTATAATTATTATCAAAAGCATTAATTATAATTATTAACAATTTACACGAATAGTATTAATAGTTTTCAAAATTAAATAAATATGTTTCTTAAAGTGTGAACTAAATTATGTGTCAAATCATGTATAACACGAACAATCTTACTATAAATTGTCTGAAATATAAACTAATTTTATATCATTTGAAGATCTCTTTTGTCATTATTTTATTTATAAACTTAAACATATAAAAATAATTTCTATTGCACTAATTATATACAGTATTATAGTAACATAATTTTTAATAAAAAATATAATAAAGAAACTGTTACGCAAGATATAGTCTATTGTGTTTTTATTATTGTTATTATTGTATTAATTTTCTTATTATTAAAACAAAATATATAGTTAAAAAAATAATAAAATAAATTAAAATAATTTGCTCCCTAATAGAAAATGGGAACACTCGATAAGTAGTAATTAATAAAAAAATAATAATAAAAATCAAATTTAATAATATTTTAATCCTAAATATTTCGATTATAAATTTTGACACATTTTATTTTTATATAAAATAATTTCAAATTCGATCAAATTTAATAAAAATAAAATCTAATTTTGTATAAAAAATGTAAATTCATTTATAATTTAATTAAAAATATAATCATCTCTAGTGATGCATTTACATTTTAAAAAATCAATATATGAAATTATTATGTATTCATTAACTACAATATTTATATTTTGATATATAATCTTAAATGTAAATATCTGTATATTTTATTGCTAATAACTATGACAGCATTAATATAATTAATATCATAAACAATTATAACCTTATGTAATAAATTTATCAATAATAAAATATTATGAGAGACGCGCCTCTCTATTAAAGGTTAATAAGTATTATTAATATTTATGATAGTTTTTTGTTGCAACAAAAATAGTACAACAAATACAAACATTAATTTATATAAAACTTCTGTATCGGCTTTTCAAATACAATATATATAAATTAAATACAATTGTTTTGCTCTCATATCATACCGTATTTGATAAAATCTTTCTCTTTTTCTCTCTCTCCGCCTTTTTTTACTCTCTTATCCTTTCATTATATTTAAATGATATTTCCATTAAATATTTAGAACATTGACAACAAATAACAAATAAAATTGGAAAAAAATCAATCAATTGTTGCAGTAAATTGTAATAAAAAATTTAGGACAAAAAATGTAAAATAAAATTAATATTATATTTTTATATGTATGGTATTATCTAAAAAATTAATGATTTTTATTAAGAGTGTGTTATATATTATATAAAACCAATTAAAACATTGAGTGCATTATCACAACATTAACTATAAAAATTTAAAAAATTTCAATTTAATTGTCAAAATCAAATGAACCTTTTTATGTCTATATAACTTTTTAGCTAAAATGTAATAATTATAAATCTTGAATAATACCACATAAAGTGAAATCATTTTTTCTGATACAATATAAATGTTATACAATCTATCAGATAAATGTCTTGAGAAATATCTATAACTTGTGATCCGTTACAAAAAATATCACCGGACGTCCAAATTATGCCATAATTCGCTTTTTATATCAAAATATGAAAAAATGTTTATATTCGCTGTCAAACATTTACTAAGAGAGAGAGAGAGAGAGAGAGAGAGAGAGAGAGAGAGAGAGAGAGAGAGAGACTCATAATATTACTTATTGTTTTCTATAAGATTCACACAAGACTTGTGTGATTTTTGTATGCAAGACTTCGGCGGACGTCATACTCGAGTCGTTTTGATATTTCAAACACATATTTATAAATATATGATATGTCCTAACAATCATAACATGACAATCAACTTCACATTTGAAACTAAAGACAAAACTGACACCCAATTCATCGGTGCATTCAATACTTGATGAAAATCTCTCTCATATCCGACCTCTCAATGATGATCACCTGTATATGTGCTACTTGTATGCTATACTATCTACTAAATCTTATATGAGTCCCATTATAACTATTACCTCAAACATAGTATTTTAGCAAAAAGATATAAAAACAAAAAATTAATACATATCTATATATTTTGTAATAATTTCTTATATATGTCTAGTATTACAAAAACTAATGAGAAAACTTCATGAGAGAAAAATTTTATTAAATTTTTGCTCAGATAATCATAAAAACATATTTCACCCAAATATAAAAAACCATTGTATTTGATAGACAAACACACAGTGAGAAAGCACTGCACCCATGAATGAGATATATTGTAGTTCTGCATAGAGTGAGTGAGTGAATGAATCAATGAGACAGTGAGTGAGTGAGAGAGCGGGTGAGTCAGTGTATGAGTGAGTGAGTGTTGGCTCGCAAGAGAAGTCAACCGTCAATACTTTCAATGTATGAGAAAAATGACTCAAAGATCTTAGTAGTGATGGCATTGAATATGATTTTTGTCAAAAAACTTAGATATTATATAATATGTGACATTAAGAAAAACAGTCGGCTATGACTACTATGACTACAAAATATATATTAATGTCTGACGAGAGATATGAAGCGATAAACGAAAATCATTGCAATCATAATCATAATAATCATATATATATATATAAATATATTATATATATATATACTGTATATCTTGTTTTGGACCTTTATTTTTGGGAAAAAACACTACAAATAATAAACTATAGTATAGGTTGTCTATGAATAGGTAAATGTCTAAATGTATACTACAATATAATAATGAGAGTAATAGTTGTGACAAACATTATTACTTTTATCTTTGTTTTTTTCTCAATGACTTTCGTTGTTAAATACAATAGTTGTTCAAAATTTCATTGTTAAAGTCAACAAATATAGTAATAGTATTAATGAATTAAAATGTTAAATGAAACCAATTTTACTTCAAAATAAAAATCTGATAAAAAATGAGTCTTTTTATGTTAATGCCTGATATCAGTACTAAAATAATGCATATAAAAAATTTATATTATTATGGAACATAAAACTTGGCTAAAATCAATTTTATAAATATGTTATATTTACAAAATTAATATATTATTAGTGATTATATAATATAGAAACAACTTTTTTTTATTTATAGATTTTTATGTTCTCTATATAACATTTATACAACTTTTGTAAAATATTGTAATCAGGGATTACTTAAGCTTTAGCGTTGAGTTTTATTATAGGCTTTTGGATATTGATTTTTCTGAAATTGTATAAAATTGCTATACATTGTTATACAATGATTGTATACAACTATGCTTTAAATAATCGATAGACTGGTCATAAACATAGTGTTAATCCTTCAAACCCTAATAAATAAAGTGTTTATTGTTACAAATTTTAATTTAAATGACTCAAAATCATAAAAATAATTATAAAATTTTCAAGTGTCATTTATTTTATGATAAACGATGTTTTGAATAACTATTGATTGCATCCCATATAATACTATATAAAAAAAAGTATAATAAATATTTTCACATTTCATAAAAATTTTTGACATTTACAACATAGTTGTCATATAAGATAAATAATTGTAAATAAATCTTAAATGAATTTCATGTAGTAAAGTAATTAAATAATTTTTATCATTGGATACTGTTTTAAAATATAAATTTTACAATATTATTAAAAATATAAATTTACTGTCAATTTAACAGAAATTATGCAAAGATTTTTTTTTAATTTAATAATAATTTATAAAATAAATATTGATTGTACATATTTTCAACAATATTTTCATTATATTATTTTTAATAATTAAGATTAATGTATATTTTTTTAAAGCGAAACTTATTATACTTATATATTATTTATAAAAGAAATATTGTAATCATATTTAAAAAATTTATAAATACCTTGAATAGTGTGCGTCCAAAGTGATGAACACAGAATCGATAAGATTATTAATATCAAACATAAATCCATATGACATGACATCATAGACTCAATCAAAACAGTCTAGTATTCATATAAAATGATAAAATCACTGATGTTTTCACATATTTTTCAATTCATTTCTAAAATTAATGTCCAAAAAGTTTTTCATTAAAATTACCGCTCAATCATATATACAGTTATATACTGACGGTTCCAATAGTAATAGAGATAGCACTGCAAACTGTATTAGAAGTTGAGCTCATAATACAAACTGTATGTCAATTGACAAACTCTAAGACCCGGTATCTGACAGTCAGAGAGAGGGCAGTTGAGCACCGGTTGGTTTGCAACACAACAGTGCATGCGTTCAGTGATAAGTCTTTACAGTCTTGACTTCGTTATGATCTTCACTGACTGTTAGGATCGACATCTGTATGACTGCAAGTTAAACATTATTAACATAACTCTATTATGCAATTTATCCTTTGAATTGTACATTACATTCATTAGTTGTTTGACTATTATATGTATTGAATTCAATAATAAAAAATTATTAGATTAGTAATTGTTATTTAGATTAAATTATTATTTTTAAATAAAAATTTATTAGCAGTATAATTATACATAATTTGTGTTGACTACATATTTCTATTGTATTTATTTCATCTATCATTAGTACTATCAACTATCATATTATATTGAATTTACCAATTTAGTATTAAATATAGTTACATTAACTAAATAATTTTTAAATATTTTAGCTAATTATAAATAATTCAAAATTTTTAAATATATAAAAGTATTGAAAGAATAAAAATAGATATACATTAAGCAAAATATAATTCAAGAATATTTTAAGAATTCAATAATAATAATAATAATAATGTTTATACTACTGTATATATATACACACATATTAACAGAATTATTGTACAATACTGTCATTTTAGTACTTTTTGTTATTAGTATAACATATAAGAATTTATAAAAATATTATTAAAATAAAAAAAAAATACAAATTTTCAATTAGTAAATACAGAATCGTTTGAGCAATACTTACAATATATTTGTCATATTATTAAGTATTAAATTATTTATATATTAGAATACACTAATGAAATGATATTATATTTATTTAAATAAATTAATCATAAAAAATAGTAAAACTATTAATGAAACAATATGTTATTGACTATATAGATGGCAAACAGTGAGTATCGGTGTAACCGATTCAATGGTTTATCTCCGAAGTGTTCAATGATATTGTAACGCATGCACTGTTATGTCTAACAAACCGGTGCCTAAATTATTGACTACTTAATCATTAAATGTTAGTACATAAATCATATAATATTTATATATATAAATACATTAGATGTTATATATTTAAAATATTCTAACATTAAATATAACTTTTATATAATTTGCACTAATAAATATTATATAAATTTATTATGTATAATACTAAAATTATTTATAATTTAAGTTTATTGTAAAAAAATAATTACTTTTAAATAAAAAAAAACTTAATAAACTAATCCATTATTTTGTTAATATACTTAATTTATATAGTTGTTTTAATTTATATTTAAATTTATATATTTTTTATACTATAATAATATTACTATATTATAATTATACTATAATTTATATTAATATATAATAATAAAATTCACAATGTTAAAAACTAATTCAAAATATATTAGTTATATATACAGTATAATTATATTATTAATTAGAGAATTTTCCATTTTAATAATTACAAAATAACAAAACTTTTACTTTTTTAGATAATAATATAAAAATTATAAAGCTGTGCTCATTTGTACTTAAAAATACAGTTAAAATAATTACAAACTTATAAGCTTTCTTAAATAAAATTCAATACTTTATCCCATACTAAACCCAAATACAAACTGAGTTTAAGGTATGGTTGCAAACTATGATCTACTTTTAATACTAAGCTTTTGTTACAATTATTATTCACCTGAAAACAATGTCTATAATTAAAACTATCATTTATATCTACTACTATTTCATTTCCACAATTGTCATACAATACATCATTTGATAATATTTCAAATTCACGATAAATTTTATTAACATTAGTGCATTAAAATTCTGCTTAAAATTATAGTATTTAACTAAATAAATACTTTTCAAAAATATTTCATAAACAAAAAAAAATTCAATTGATTTTTATCACTTATTGTTTAATTTAATGAAATAGTGTAAGTGATAAATAACTTTTTTATTTAAAAAACGTCATAAAAATCATTTGCATTTTAAAAACTTGTTTGTCTTTGCAAACCAATGCCATTTGGATGTGAGTCTATGTATGTATGTATGTATGTGTTATCTATACATTAAACATAAATATGAATCCATTATGTGTTTAAAAACAATTATTTTAATGTTAATTGTCATATATTTGACTATATTTACAACATTTTGTTGTGCTTTCAAGTAAGTGTTACGATTCAAGTTTTATTTCTTTAAAATATATATAATATTAAAAAGATAATAATTATTTGATGTTACTAATTTAATTTATGACATAATTTACGATGTTTTAAATGGCAAATATATGTCATAAATCAAATTAACTAAAAAATAAATTTATTGCACATTATAAAATTCAATGATACAATATAGAAGATTTGCAATAAAATAATTTATAAGTTATTAATAGTCCGTAATATTAATTACAGTATAATATTTAGCGCTGATTTTGAAAATATTAAAAAAGTTTTTTATAAACAAATAATTATTTTAATTTTTCAAAAAATATCAATATTTACTTCAAAACTTACTTCAGAGAGGAAACAGTCGATAGATTGACTGTAAGCGTCGTTACTTCTAGTGGTGAGTCCAACACTGAACCTAAACCAGAATTAAGAGGTCGAGTGATAAGTTCATCTCAAAGGTCATCTAATGGCGATAATCTTCGCAAAGATATATTAGACTCGATATCGTCGCGAATCGACGAGTCGTCTTCATTGACGACTACAATAAATCAGAAGAGTAGTGCAAAAGACAAGAATTCAAATCAAAAAGATTCACCGAAAACGGGTAAAAGATCTTCAAAAACAAGTGATGTCAAGTGTGGCGGACAGGTGTCGGTCTATATTAGTGAAGAAATAACTACACCGTTATATCCATCGAAATATCCGCCAAACTTGGACTGTAAGTGGAATATCAGTGCCCAAAGTGGCCAAAGAATTAAGATCGAGATTTTTCGAATGAATGTCGAAAAAGACGAAAACTGCAAATTTGATTATCTCGACATCAAAGGTGTACAACGACTCTGTGGTAAAGTGACGGACTCGACGATTGTGGTTAACTCATCGCAAGTCGAACTCAGGTTTCGGTCCGATTCAAGTAATGAAGACTTTGGTTTTCATCTGAGAATTATTACTGAATCACATGATTGTGTCCGAGAAGTCAATGTCACAAACTATGCATTTGTAAATTCACCCAAATATCCGGCCAATTACGACGATTCGACCGATTGTTGGACACTTATCCGAACAGAGGCCAGCACTACACTAGTACTTACATTTGAGGTACTGGTCCTCGAGCACGACGAACACTGTGCCTATGACTACCTCGAAGTGTTTGACTCCAATACAGTCAACAACTCTTTGGGAAAGTTATGCGAAAAGCCGGATAACGTTACACTTTCTCTTCAGTCTTCAAGTAATGTTTTACTTCTTCACTTTCATTCCGATCAACTATTAAATAATAGAGGATTTCGGGCGGAAGTGACCACATCTAAGTACTCGGTCGGTAATTTTGGTTGCAATTGGAAAGTAAATTGGAGTAATATGACTCTTAATAGTCCTAACTTTCCTATGAATTATCCGCCAAATGTTAATTGTGAGCTATCAATATCTGCACCGACACCAGAGGAACGACTTATAATCTTATTTGAATGGATTCATTTAGAGACCGGATCTAAGTGTGAAAACAATGATAGACTTGAGATTTGGGAGAACGAGAAGGAGGCAACTCGTGTAATATGCGGCCGATTCTCACAACCATTCAAATATGTGGCCAACAAAAAGACAATTAAACTTAAATTTATTTCCGATAGTTTTGCTGAATTTCCCGGTTTTACAGCAAAACTAACATATCTTCATCCACAACAAGAACCACGAATTGGCCAAAAATTATTGCGTTCTCCAGAAAATGCTTCGGTTGCCATCGGATCTACACATGTATTGCATTGCGATCTATTGACTAATGAACCGATCACTTGGTTTAAGGGCGACAAACAAATCACAACCGGTGTCGCACCCAATGGTCGGACACTTATTATTAGAGAATTTACTACAAGTTCTGAAGGTCGCTATATCTGTAAGTTTGGGAACGACTATCGAGAAGCATGGCTTAGGGTTAGAAGAGATAAGTGTCCGTCTGTTATATTTCGCAAAAGACCTAAAGATATGAGTGTCAGTGATGGAGATTTTATTGTTCTCGAGTGTAATATTGTAGATTCAAAGAGTCCGGTCAAATGGGAACGGGATGGCAGAAGTTTAGCCAACAATTCTAGAATAAATCAGTTACATAACGGATACCTTTTATTAGATCCAGCAATGAGTGAAGATTCGGGTATTTATTTTTGTATTGCAAATTCAGATTTAGGTGATTGTGCTGTTAGGTCCGGTGCGAGGGTTAGTGTTAATAGAAGGGTAAATGTTAACAATGTTTGCGGTGTCTCTCATGTCAACGATGCCAACACTGATGTGTCTAAGATTATCGGCGGCACTGAGGCTACGAAATCTGCATTTGTATGTTATATATAATAATTTTATTTAAATCACTCGTTAAATATATTATATATTCTATTATATTATTGACTAAAGCCATGGCACGTCATGTTTTGGGATTACAGGAGAAAAGCATTTTGTGGTGGAGTTAGTATTACATTAATTTATTATATATTTAAATTAGTATTATTAATCTATGCATCAATTTATAACGAGTTAGGCATTAGCTAATGAGCGATGGGTTATAACTGCTGCTCATTGTTTCGAGACAGGTTCCGAGTCGGCCATTGAAGTCAAACTCGGCAAATATGACCAAACAATGAGCGAAGATACAGAAATTGTTACCAAAATAGCCGAAGTTATCCGTCATCCGGACTTTAGTCGCGACACATTTGACAACGATATAGCATTAGTCCGTTTGGATCAACACATTGCTTTCACACCACACATCGCACCTATTTGTTTGGTCGACAAACGTGAAAGAAGACAAATGGATGAGTACTTTCTGAAGCCTAATAGTGCGTTACGCATCGGTCATGTGACCGGTTGGGGTCAACTTAAAGAAAATGGACCACAACCTCGATATCTTCAAGAGCTAAGGGTGCCTATTGTCGAAGAAAACAAGTGTCGGGCTTCTACTGCATTCAAAGTAACCGCAAACATGTTTTGTGCCGGTTATGGAAAAGAAGTGTTAGGAGATGCCTGTAAAGGTGACTCCGGAGGACCATATGTGGTGCCCTGGAAGTCAAGATGGCTTATGTTAGGAGTGGTTTCATGGGGTGAGGGCTGTGGTCGTAGCGGTAAATTTGGTTTCTATACTAAAGTCAATAATTATTTAGATTGGATTAACGCAATCATCAAATTGTGATATTATTTTATATAATAGTATTTTATATGTTAACTATTATCATATTATTTACTTAATATAAGTATTACTGTTAGCTATTTTCATACTATTTGTTTTTACTGACATTTTAAAATATTTAATATAACTTGTAAATACACTATTTAAACTATTTTTACTTTAAATTGATAAATATGTGATTTTATATAATTAAATTTGTACAGTTATTAATAAAAAAAGTGCAATAATTTTTAACATTTAGTGAATTATGTACTAATAGATAGAATATGTATGTATCCGATCCATAATTTTAAATTGCAAACAACTGTATCATACATATCACGAATTTAGGATAATTGTGACAATGAATTATCAATAATTTCTTGACGTATATTACAATAAGTCTATAAATTTCTTGTCAAATATTTATTTGATTTAAATAATTCAAATAAATTAATTTTAAAATTAAAAACTACTAATTTTCTGACATATTTTCAAATACAACTAATAATTATTAACATAATATTTAATACATAAAACAAAACTTAATGTCAATAAATCCGATGTTAAACGGCTTGTTTGATGAGATTTGAGTAGAAATTGAATTTACTTCTAATAGACATATCTATATAGTGTTCACTGTTGAAGTCGACTAACATACCGCCCATTATTTTGGGATCAACTTTCAGAGTCAACGATATTTTGTTGCCTAAAACATACAAACCATCAAATAATTTGCAAAACCAATTGACATAACTGTTATTACATACCTTTAACAAAGCCGTTCAATGACTGAACTATCTCTTGACGGGTCGCATCATCAATAGGCTTAGCGGTAGTTACCGTACACTCGAGTTCACCGCGAGAGATGGCCATAACACGGTTGAAACCGCGAGCCACTGATGGCAGATGTTTGATGCGCCCGTTTTCGGCCATTACACCAACCAAATTGACAGTCAGTTCATTTAACTTCAAAGACGGGATATTTTTGCTTAAGATCTCCTTCTTTTGTTTGGCCTAACCATCGAAATAATATAATTAATTCATTTGTTTCAATACTAATCATTAAATGGTCGACAAAAACCTTAATCAACGGATTATATAACAAGTCTTGAAATTTGCTGTCTTTCTGTGAAATCTCAACCAATTGTTTAAGATCTTTGTCAACGACGTCCAACTTCTTCTGTTTGGATGCCGCCGACCAAAGAGCCGATATATAGCGGCCATCGACGCCGTGAACGGGAATCGGAGTCTTCACGAGTCCGGTCGACGCATTGCGAACAGCTATACGGCTTAAACTTTGCAGTGATAGCAGTGATGACCGATACATATCTGTTAGAAAAGATTGGGATGTGTTTAGTGATCATTGAATCTATTGATTCATCAAATAATTACCGATTTTATGGTTCAATACAAACACAAAACACTTTATTATCAATGGATTGCAGTTAAGGTCAAAATGGTTTGCAATGATAAACGTTGAGACAACTGATGCAATAATGGCTTAACTTATGTTTAATTATTGTAACAAATAAGCCCTTATTACTCAATTAATAGCAAACATATTATGCGACTTCTAGTGAGTTGTAATCAAGTAATAGATTGTATTAAAACATGTGTTGTGTTTGTTATGAATTGAATTGATATTAATTTAAAGTATATTTCAATTAATAAGTGATTCAAACATTTAATGAAATTATGGGAAAAACAAAGAGAGAAAAACATGAAGACATCGATGAAGACATGGATGTAAAGAAAGTGAAGAAAATAAAGATTGAAGAAGAAGTGAAAGAAGAAGAAGAGACAGAAGAGATGTCAATACCATTGAATGACTCGAGACGTTGGACTGAACTGTCTTACGACCAGAAGATAGACTTCACGTCAATCATTGCTAAACCAATGGCGACGAGAAAACTGGCGAAGAAATTGTTTAAATTGATCCGAAAGGCATCGAAAATCAATAGAAAGACATTACTTCGTATCGGACTTAAAGACGTTCAGATGAGGATCAGGAAAGGTATTGATGACCATTGATGACAATAATGATTGATATGATTGATATAAAATTATTATTGATATTAATAGGAGAGACGGGTATTGTTGTGTTTGCTGGAGATGTGACACCAGTTGATGTTATGTGTCATTTGCCGGCAGTTTGTGAGGACAAACAATTGCCATACATTTATGTGCCGCTGAGGGCCGACATCTCAACCGCAGTTGGTATCAAAAGACCAGCTCTTATGGTACTTATTAAAGAAAGTGCTGATTATGAAGACATATATAATGAATGTAAACTTGAAATCAAATCATTACCGCTTCCCATATAATAAATCATTTTTATTATTACCGTTTATATAATTTTTTAAATCAATAATTAAAACAATTATTGCAATGATTATATGTTATTAAATAAATTCACTATAAATGATATAAGAAATATTGACAATTAATATTTGTGTTTAATTATTATTATTAAATAATGATCTGCCGTAAGATATTTGCTTATTATAACTTTCTATGACTACAGGTTTGTTGCTTTGTATACCTTATCATTTATATACTATAAATTTTGGTAATTTTACAAAATAAATAAAAATTTTCTAATTACAAATATTTAGAAATAATGTCCTCAAAATGTTTTCACTTACCAATATATTTATTTATAAATTAATATATGTGACTTACAGGTATTATTTTTATAGTTTTTAATACCGGTAATTATTTTATGATAATAATTATGTGATATAAACAAAACCCCAATGACTAATTTAATTTATTAATAATCTTATAAATTTTTATTGTATTTTAAATTTATTATATGATTATAATTATAAAATATTTGTCATTTGATCAACGTTTTGATTACAGTATTCAATCAATTGTTTGACAGCTGTATTAGTATCGATGTCCACATCATCCGATGTTAGCATTTGTTGGCAAATATTCACAAATATATGCAATTTTGTCAAAACATACGGATTCTAGAAATAAAATTTGAAATAAATATAAATTACCGGTAATAACAATTTGACATTATATATAATGTAATTTAAAATATAAATTAATACCTGATTTTGATTAAAGCATTTTTCATGACAAGTATCTACAAGTTGTTGATAACATTTTCTATTAGTTAACTCTTGTCTAGTATTTAATATAGACTCAGTTTTATCAGTCATCAAATGGCTAATAGTATTGACATATTCTTCAAAATGTTTGTCAATTAATTTTCTGCCGCTTAGTAAACGATTCAATTCGTTACTATATCTGAAAATAAAAATTTTATACAATTAGTTACAAAATCTATATAAACTGCTAAATGAGAAAAACAAACTCTAATTTTTCATTAATATCATCAGTCAATTGAATCTTCATTTGCAAAGAATATATTGCAATATCTTTGATGAGAACTGATCCGCCAGAATATTGTCCATTATTTACTATATTGTTATTATTTGGTCGGGTTTTCCCTTTGCCTAAAATTTATATACCATATCATATGAAAATCAAATTTGATTACAATTAGATTATATATATATATATAATGAACAAACCCATGAACTGAGAAGCGGGTAATTTGCCAATAGATAAGTCTCCGTATTGTTGTGAGTGTTGCAGATGAGTGACACCTGGTTTAACTGTGGCCACCACTTGACTCTTAAGATAGTCATATTGTTGCTGAAGTGTCACTTTGTCGAGATCATTGTGCTCACTGTGATTGAGCCAATGATAAGTAAAATGATCAGCTATTTTAATAAACAATATATTAATATAACAATATAATAATAACATATAAAACTAACCTAAACAATATTCAAAGTCATCTCTGCAGAACATCATCCAACCCAACTCCCCGGGCATTGTTGCCGTCACCGCATAAACGTTAATATTGTTGGGCAATAATTTATCAAACATTGATCCTATTGTTTGACAATTAAAATATTTTAATATAATATTTTACTTAGTATTACATTTTCTTAGAAATAATTTGATTCAATTACCTGATTCACAGGCCTCGAGATAAAAGACTAATTTTGCGAACATTTTATTTTCATACATATATTTGAGCGCATCGTTCAACTGAGTATTTTTTAGATATCCCTTTGGAAACATTATTTCACCTAAAAATATAAATTTAAAAAAAACAAAATAAAATTTAAAAATAATTAACAAAATTACCATTTCCTCCATGGTCATTAAAATGAATAAACACATGATCTTTTGGACCACTTTTCAATACTTTTTTTCCTTTTGCTTCCAATTGTTTATCACCTTTAATAACACCCAAAAAGTTCTGTATATATTTATATTTATTTTTAGTTTAGAAATTTATTTTCATATTTCTATAATAATAATAATAATATCTACCTCTGGTGTCACATCAACTCCTGTATAGTGTTTGGGTACCCCGTGATAAACATCTGTACCATTGGGCTCATTGATGATAACACCAGGCGTTGGATTTCTTGCATAGTTTGCAATATCATCGAAATGCATAACAATTATACGTTCATCAGGTATACCATTATTACGGAAAAAATGATACGCGTGATATACACTTGACTTTAAATATAGTTAATTGTGAGATTATATAAAAATAAAATAATAGGTGTTTTTAACTTGATATTGAATAAAACATTTTTTAAAAAAAATACATCAAATAACATGAATTTAAACTTACTTGCATTTCATAGTTAAACCAATCCTTAGCACCGGCACAGAGGACAACCCATATGTTGCCATCAAAACTGTCGGTCTCTCGTATCGATACAATGGCTGTATTGGCCACATATATCAATGCGAATAATATTGCTAAATATTTATTCATTTTAAGATTTTAGTAAAAAAATATAGAAATATTTGTTTTTATATAAATGTTTTATGCAATAATGTGACTAATTTATTGAAAAAATAGATAATTTTGATATATAATATTAATTATAGTACAGGTATTATATCAACCTTTGTTGGTATACTAAAACATTTGATAAAAAATATTAAAAACATTAAAGATATTTTTAATAAGTATATTATTACAAAATAATCTAATATTTTTGAAAATTTTTATTGTTAGTCAATTATTTCATCCAATTTAAAAATAATTTGTAATTATTATTAATTAGTATACTTTAATATCTTATCGATAAGTAATTTTTAAACAAAAAGCTTTTAAGTTGATATAACAGTTTTTATACAAAGAAAATATTTATACATTCATTCAATGTGTTTGTCAATTAAATTACTAATTAAATTATGGATAATCTGAATTTTTTTGCATTTTTTATTTAATCCATTTACATAAACAAGATTAAGAATTTAAATTAATCCGTTAATTACAATTGAATTTAAATGTTTACTCTACATATGATAACTTAGCTAACACATCATAATAAAATAATAATCATTTTATGTAAAAAATATTTCATAATACAGATACTGTAATATTATCAAAACAATTTATGTTGCTTAAAATGTCAAAATAATTTAAATTTACACAATTTTACAAATTTAAAAAATCATTATAATTTTAAAAAATAAAATAATTAGATTATAATCATATAATAGTTATTGAATATATAGATTTGTGTGACAATGAGTTTTTCATATGACATTATACTCATAATCTAAACATAAAAATTAGAAAAGATAATACAAGTTCTTAGAAGTTATTATTAGTTCAAATATGTTTAATATCAAATCATATTGAGTTCTGTATATATTTTATATAAATACAGAGAAATAAGTTTATTTATTTTTTATTAAAGAATAATTAAGTTTTAAAAAGAAAAATCACATTAATTAATAAAATGAAATTATTATTATTATTATTAACATTAGTTTATTATTCAGCAAATGCTGTACCAATAGAAGAATATGACTTTAATGGTACCAATTGGGTAGTATTGGCATCGGGAGGAGGTATGAGTTTGGAGTATTCAATTGAGGTATATTATCTATAAATATATTTGTTAAATGTAAAATTATATAATATATTATATTAATTAGGCGGATGTATATCACGCCTATCAAGTTGTCCGCTCGCGTGGAATACCCGATAAAAATATTATAGTAATGAATTTGGATGAAGTGGCGTATAGTAAACGTAACCCAACACCTGGAATAGTTGTTAGTAAACCGGGTGGTCCTGACGTTTATCATGGAGTACCTAAAGACTATGTACACGAGGAAGTGACACCATTGGTATATAAATAATTTATTTATTAAAAAAACAAATACAATAAAATTTTTATAACAGAATTTTTTGGCTATACTTCGTGGTGATCCAGTACTGGCACGAAATGGCAAAAAAGTTGTCAAATCTGGACCTAATGACCACATTTTTGTTTATTTTATGGACCATGGTGCAACTGGTATTTAATAACTATTTAAATTTTATATTAATTAATAATAAATAATTTTTTTATTATTAGATTTAATATGTTTTCCGAAAGGACGGCTGTATGGAGAAGAGTTGAATAACCAATTGATCGAAATGTATAATCAGAAAAAGTTTGCAAAACTTGTATTTTATATCGAGGCGTGTGAATCGGGTATTATATTTGGATATTTACATATATATAAATAATTACATATTAATTATATTAATATTAAATATAATTAAATTTTTTCATAGGTTCTATGTTTGCAAAGTTGTTACCAAAAGATATCAATGTATATGCAGTGACCTCATCGGCACCGACTGAATCCAGTTATGCCTGTTGTTATGACACACTTAGACAAGAATTTCTTGGTATAATCAAAATTATTATTATTATTATTATTATTATTACTATACTATAAAATTATGAAAAATACAAATTTTAATATACAATTTTACTATTGAATATAATACCATAAATTATAATTATATAATATAGCTGGATATTTTAATTATCATTGGATGTTAAATAGTGAACAAAATGATTTAACTAAAGTAACACTTGAACAACAGTTTGTATATATTAGAGATCATACGGTTAATAAAGACCCGGCTATTAATGCTACAAATGGACAACACGCGCAACAATACGGTGACCTATCTATAGGCAAACTACCCGTCTCTTTGTTTTTAGGTCAGTCATAGTATATTATTAGTTTAATTTAATATAACTTAATAATAATATTATTTTCTATACATTTAGGCAAAGAAAATCCTAAAAATATAACTGAAAAACGCTTTAATATTAATCCCAAAACTGAAGATTTAATTAATACCAGAGACGCTGATATATATTTGCTTCAAAAGCGTATTGAAGAAAATGATGATTTAAGTGAAAAACAAAAGTAACTTTAAATAATATTTTTTTTATATTTAAATTTATATTATTATAAATTTATCTATTTTACAGATATGTTGAAAAGTTAAGACAACTATTGAATAACAGAAAACTTGTAGACAAACACTTCGAGCAATACGTTCACTCAATTCAACATTTATTAGGCATTCAATCATTTAATGATATTAACAATGTTTTGAATACAAGACAAGAGCTCAACAATAGACAGTGTTATAGACAAATGGTCGACACATTTGACGATAAATGTCTTAATATAAATAAAGTATTTAATTATAAATATATTATTATTTATTTATTAAAAACTATTTTTATTACAGAATTACTATGTATTGCAAAAACTGAATGTTTTTGTGAATATATGCGAGAAATTGAATGAAACCAATGATATGAACACTGCTGTCAATGCATTGATAATGTACTGCAATAACAACTATATGTCATCACTAGTAGAAAATGTTGTGTAAATTTGTTTTAATATAAAAATATTTGTTAATAACAATAATTAAAATAATATAGTATAAAATATATTATTTTAATTATTGTTATTAACAAATATTAAATATTTTTTAATTATAAAAATAAAATCTATTTTTTATAATAATTTATATATTAAATAAAATATAAATGCAACTTATTTTTAACACGTATTTGGTGTACAAAAACTATAAATGTCATAAATGCTAAAAGTTATTGTTTAAATTTTAAGTAATATGATGATGAATTGATAATACAGTATGTTATTTTACTTAACAGATATTTTATAATAACTTTGTATCAATCAATAAGTAAAATAAACTTATCCTTACTTATTTAATTTGTACTAGTTTATATGTGCAATTTGTTTTTATAAAGCTTATTTCAATCACTGATATATATATACATTTAACAACATTTTGTTAAATTAGATTAAAACTCAATTACATAATTATAACTTATACTACTAAGACAATTGATATTAATAATTACTAAAATTATTATCAATAATTTAATTATATTTTGTCACATGTATATAATAAGATGATAATTTATGAGTCAGACAGTGATAAAACGTTAACTCTTATAATTAAAACAGAATTTTTTAAATTTATTTTTTTAAAACTATTTAGTAATTTATTATATAATTAATTACGGAGATAATTATTATTAAAAAAAGATTCATTGATATATTTAGAATGTGATTGTATGCTTATTAAACTATTTATCTAACAATTGCATAAAACAAACATACATACTGTAAGTAAAGTAATTAATACTATTTTATAAAAATATATTTCTAGTTTAAGATTAAACAAATGTATTATACCAGTGACCTTGCCTAATTAACAACCATTGATTTAATTGGATAAATATAAATATTTTAATAAAATACTTAAATATTGCCAATTTTTAAAATAATTGCTTTGGCCTATAATTTATTTTATAAAATGGATATAATAGTATTAAAATTGATATTATATAAAATTATAAGGAAATTATCTAAAATATAATAGTTTTTTATAAGAATTGTAAAGAATATAAATAGAATATATATATATTATATATATAACTATTAGAGATCATATGGTTAATAAAGACCCGGCTATTAATGCTAGGGAAGGACAACACGACCAACAATACTGTAACATATCTATTGTCAAACTATCAGTCGCTATGTTTTTGGGTCATTCATAATATAATGTTAAACAACTTCATATTAATTTAATTTATTTTAAAATTTAAGGGGAAAAATAATCTTAAATATCAAATTAAAAAACCAATGATTGCTAATCATAGACCTGAAGATTTGGTTAACACAACAGAGTAACTATGTATTGCAAAAAACTGAATGTTTTTGTGAATATATGCGAGAAATTGAATGAAACCAATGATATGAACACTGCTGTCAATGCATTGATAATGTACTGCAATAACAATTATATTTCATCACAAATAGAAAATTTTGTATAAAATTGATTTAACAAATACAAGAATTTTAATAAAAATAGTGTAAATGCTATTAATATTTTATTAATAAAAGTCAATTATATAATATATTTATTATTTGTGAAACATTTAAAAAATAATATTACCAATTAAATAGAGTGTAAATAGTAATATGCATAATTCAAAATAAAAATTAGTAAATTTTAAATTAGTTAAAATTATTTTTTAAAATTTAAAAACAATTTAATTAACGATAATTTACAAGAATTAAAGTACTTTTTCTTTTACTTTACTTATATTTAGGGTTAGATTGAGATTCCCAGGGAGGGAAGTTCCCAAATAAAATCCCTCCAATTTTCCCGGAAAATATGGAAAATATATTATATTCCCTCCCTTGATCGTTAGAAAGGGAAAATATAATTTGTCATACATTATAAAGTACCTAATCTCAATGACTATGTGTTTCAATTGGGACCAGTATGTTAGTAATAACTCAATCAAAATATGATTCAAATATTATTAAACATTTAGTAAAAACATTAAATACATTTTGCAGTCATTTACTATACAAACGTGTTTTTAATTAAACATTATGTAATGTGAGTTATGGTACGATAGGTGGTACCACAAGGAAATGTCTTCCCAGGGAACAGGGAATATAAGGAACTTATGGAAAATAAGACGAGGGAGGGAATCTGATCTAACCCTAATTATATTACAATTAATTGATTTCTATGACCTCTAGTGAGTGTTAGTTAACTAAATACACGGTTATGATCTACCGAAGACTCGGGCCCTTTTTATGTATATTACATATGTTTTTTGTGTAACTATATCTCTATTAAATAATTATATAATTACATAAATGATGTCGCATTTTTTTAAACAACWCATGACAATATGGTATCTTTATAATTATCAAATGTAGCATAAAAAACATAAGTAACATAAATAAAAAAGTACCGAGTTTGTTCTGAAAATGTTTAGTGTATTACAGTATATTATGATTGTATTTATTGTTAAATATTTACAGTGTGTTCAACACGTGTGTTGTGTTTGTTATGAATTGAATTGATATTAATTTAAAGTATATTTCAATTAATAAGTGATTCAAACATTTAATGAAATTATGGGAAAAACAAAGAGAGAAAAACATGAAGACATCGATGAAGACATGGATGTAAAGAAAGTGAAGAAAATAAAGATTGAAGAAGAAGTGAAAGAAGAAGAAGAGACAGAAGAGATGTCAATACCATTGAATGACTCGAGACGTTGGACTGAACTGTCTTACGACCAGAAGATAGACTTCACGTCAATCATTGCTAAACCAATGGCGACGAGAAAACTGGCGAAGAAATTGTTTAAATTGATCCGAAAGGCATCGAAAATCAATAGAAAGACATTACTTCGTATCGGACTTAAAGACGTTCAGATGAGGATCAGGAAAGGTATTGATGACCATTGATGACAATAATGATTGATATGATTGATATAAAATTATTATTGATATTAATAGGAGAGACGGGTATTGTTGTGTTTGCTGGAGATGTGACACCAGTTGATGTTATGTGTCATTTGCCGGCAGTTTGTGAGGACAAACAATTGCCATACATTTATGTGCCGCTGAGGGCCGACATCTCAACCGCAGTTGGTATCAAAAGACCAGCTCTTATGGTACTTATTAAAGAAAGTGCTGATTATGAAGACATATATAATGAATGTAAACTTGAAATCAAATCATTACCGCTTCCCATATAATAAATCATTTTATATTAACTTTATTTAAAAACAATTATTTTTGAAATAATGTAATAAAACAATAATTTATAATAACGTTTATAATTATTTTATATTTTCTCACTTAATATCATTTATAATACCTATAATTATTAAGCTATAGTACCGGTAAATCAAAACAAAATGAGACAAAAATGTTTAAAATAAATTAAAAGAGGGTCTAATTGATTGATAAAACCATATTATCTGTCTTTAAGATATTTTCATAACTCTTTTCTTCGACTTCCAAGTCTTTAAGCCACTGTTTTCCAAATTGATTAACTATTTTTGGTAAATAAGACAAATATTATTTATAATCATATCTTAAGTTTACATATTATATAATAAAATTGTTGAAATACTTTGGTTTTGATTAGCACTTTGTTTATCAGTACTAATGCCGAGTTCCCTGAGTGCCGCATAAATCCTTAAGTGGACATAATTTTCATTAAGGTATCGGTTATAGTCTCTCATTGTCTTTTTGAGCCAATTTTTGGCCTCTTCTGAGTTATTAGTGGACAGTTGGATGAGACCCATTTCCAATGTTGTTTGCGGTAATATCGACGAGTTTTTCTCAATATTTTGCTCTCTATAGTATAGTATTACATATGCATTAAAATTATAATTTATAAAAATCTATAATACAATAATAAATTTAATGTAAACTAAAAATACGAACTCATTTAAGATGATATTAAGACATTGTTTTGCTTCCTCATAGTGTCCCTTAAGTTTCAATAGAAATGCTTTATAGAAAAGAGCCGATACATAGCTATCAACACCATTGCCTTCATCTATAGATAATTGATATAAGGATTAGCATTATTTAAATAATAATTACTGGTATTAATAATATGATAAATACCGAAATCCTTTTTAAAAATAGATATATATTTATCAACGCGTTGTAAATGTCGGTCCAAATATATTGGATTATTCTTTAAAAAGTACAGATGATTACTACCATAGAGGGTATCCTATGTTTCAAATTAATTCAACAAAAATTATAATTTTATTATTATTATTGAAAATTTATTACAGTAATGACAGACCAATTCGGGTAACGGAAGAAAGTGATTATTTCGGACATATTTGAGGGACAACTCTACGGCCACCTTCTCGGGTGTTATGGTTTTACCGAAATATCGGATTCTCATATCAGGTATACTCCTATTTTAAAAGTTAAATTGAGTTAATAAAAAAATCATTTATTACACCAAATACTGACTCAAACAACTGATTCGCCTCTTTTTTCATTTGTTGGTCATTATCATCGACTGCTTTAGCAAACTTAAAGATGGCTAAAATGTAAGTAATAATAGCCGGTGAATGAATGGCCTGTTGTCGGACCAGTTCTGCATATTTAATACATTCATCCCATTGACATTTGAGAGCATAACTAAAAGACAGCTCAATGTGAAAGAGCTTATGAGTGACAACTAAATCATTGCCTACTAAACAATCCTTAAACAGTTGGATGGCCTCATCTATATGACCACTCACTTGAGCTAATTTTGCATTTAATATCTTATAGAGTAAACTCTGAAATTTTATAAATTAAATTATTATTTTAAACAAACATTTTATATCTTTTGAATACTTTTGGAAATCGTTTTAATTCTTTGTCTATTATTTGTTGGCTAAGCGTCAAGTCTTTAGGTCCGAGACATCCGTGTGATTGTCCGACAATCCAATAAACCAGAAGCACTACCTGTGCTATTCTAGCACTCAGACCGGGCAATTCAAAAGCAGTTTTGGTTAACTCTTGTAAGGCCCGACTTTCTACTCCCTTATATCCCAGAAAGTTGACAATCCTTAACAGTTTGGGTGGTATGTGACTAATCATTAAGTGTTGTATGCCGTTAGCCAACCGGACTCCCGCTTCAAAGTTTTGTCGTGAAAGCTCTGACTCCCAATTGGTTTTACTCCTCAATATTACTTTACACTCTCTATTGTTTTAAATTAAAATTGTTTTAAATATTATTTGATTTTTCGAGGACTTGCCTGAAGGCGTTGACACACAATCGTAGACGATATGCAATTTTAATCAATGCATAAATGTTTTGTGCCTCCAAAGCACCTAACAGTGCGCTCAGACCCAAAAATTTAGCGTGAGTTAGCTCAGCGTGAACTTCCACTATAAATTTTAATAACCATTATTTTAAAATTAGTGCACAATTTTGTTTTAATAGTTATTAAAAAAAATTATTTGATAACAAACATACTATCACTATATTTATTATAGTCGGGTGTTTTAAATAGTTTAACCAAATCGCTGATAAGTCCAGTACGTCTATATCTATTACTTAATTGAGCCGTTTGTGCCCAACTTTGGGTAGCCCTATCCAAGTCATGCTTTTGTAGTGTAAGTCCGGCATTCAATATAATAATAATAGATCGCAATGAGCTGTGATAAAGACATTTGTCGGCAAAAGGATCTAACATTTGTATAGACGTCTCGAGTCCATTGGTTTCAATGGCCGTCTCTAAGGCCAAAGTTGCCAATCGTATTGACTCTTCAATTGTTGGCAATTCATTGCTACAAAAAATTGTATATAATTTTAATGATGTTTTATATTAATTTTTAAATATATTTTTTCTTAGTTTTTAATGAATTGATGTAAATATAAATTATGTTTTAAAATTGCTTCAAACATAAGGAAATATAATCAAAAATTATTTGAAACCATAAAAATATTAATTGTAATTTTGTTTGCATATAATTCACAAACAAATGTAATTTTCTATAAAAATAAATAAGTTTACATTTGATAGATAACTCATGATTTTAGTGATATTAATACAATAGCTCTAAATTTTAGACATGCATTACAATATAATATATGTTATAGTCTAACTATTAATTATAAAAATTGTTATGTACAATACTACATTACTGTATAATATCAGTATACTATATATTCAATATATTATATTGTAACACAATTTAATTAATAAAATTGCGCAAAACATTGATTGAATAAAATTAAAATTTATACTGTATAAACTATACATAAGTTATAAAATACTAAATTACTATAAAATTCTATAAATATTAAACATAAGTTATATTATAAATAAGTTATATATATATATTAAATAATGTATAAATAATATATTTTATATGAGTTATAAAAAACAACATACCTTTTGTTATTATTATTATTATTTAAATTCATGATTATCCAACATCTGTTAGTCCAAATTATATTAATTAATGAATAAAATTATATTTTTATAAATATATATTTTAATTATATATAATTTAAACAATAAAACTAAATTATTAACAATTTAATTTTATAATTAAAAACATTTTATTTAACAATAACATTATAGTATTTGTATAGTTAGAAATAGTGGTAATATTAATAATACCAGTTTGAAGACTAAAAGGCCGACTAAAATATACATTTGAAAGCTAACAGTGAAAGTTCATATCCTTATCATACATAATCAACTAACGTATAGTTATGTTATAATATACAGAAAACTCGTTTTTCCAGATTATATAACAACATATTAGAGAAAGTTTTGAATTACCATTTGATTGGATTTCACTGTTTTATAATGTTTGGGAAATCATTGCACAATCTATTGGTTAACAATTTGGAAATTTGATATAATTTCCAGTTTTATTCATTTGCATCGTTCATATAATTATTTAGTGTACCTGTATTTTATTTTCTATATAAACAATAATAATTAATGTTTCATATTTCAAATTATTACTTCCATATTTATTTATTTATAAGCACTTAAAATAATTAAAAATATATTTATTATTAAAATCAAAATTGCAGTCTTATTAAAAGTCACAATAATTATTTTTAAGTCTAAGTTTTTATATTTTTAAGTTTAAGGAAAGTCTATAATAAAAAACTTACTTTACAACATATAAACTTCAAAAATTCAATAACTAATGAGAATATCTTATTAAAAACATTTTCTATAAAATACAATAATAAAAAAACTAAATGAAGTCATAATCAAAAATAAAAATTTATAGTTAAAATTAAAAAGAAATTGAAAAAAAACATTTATCATTCATATTGATCCTCAATGTCTTCAAATTCATTTACAATTAATCCCATATCCAACACTTTATCCACATTTATCGGTATATCAATGACTAACTCTTTTTCCGAGTCATCCGATTCGTAATCATTGCCACAGTTTTTACCGTTGATTTCTCTTTCACTGCTCTTATTGTTGCCAATTATCTTATCGTAAATCTTATTGTTATTATCACTACTGTTATCACTATTTAATATATTATTTTTAAATGACAATTCTTTAGTCTTTGTAGTGTTTTCATTGATATCCTCATCATTAGTATCATTAGTATGTGATACAAGTGATTCTTCTTCAGAGTCAGAAATGATGACAATTTCTGCTATGTTTTGGTAATTAATTTGTTTTTCATTTCTTTGCTTTCGTCTATAATTTGTCCGATCTTTTGACACTTTTGGTGTCTCATAAACGCTATCCTCTTCGTCATCGCTGTCATCGATGGTAAATACTTCGACCTTTTTATTTTTGGTCACTTCTAAGCTATCGGAAGTAAAACTCTCGACTCTATCCTCTAAGTTGGGTGTAATTGGCAGCAGATTGTCATTTGAATTGTCTGACATTTTCAATAAATTATCAACACTTTTATTATTAATGTTTTCATTTATAGTCATTTCATCCAAATCGATGACAATGTTTGACTCGGATAATGATAAGTCAAAAATAGACGGTTGGCTCATGAAATCACATGAAGAATCACTATCGTTATCAACCATTTGTTGGATTCTGTCCTCTGTTTGGTTATCCGATTGTTTTATTTCTTTATTATCAGAAGAAACACTTTTGACTTTTTTGACTGATTTTCTCCTTTCAAATGCTTTCTGTCGTTTATTTTCCTTAACTCTTGTTGTGTCAACTCTTTTATTGTTATCATTACATCCAATATTTTCATTATCATTAAAACTCATTCCTCCAATTCCAGAGTCATTACCGAGTGATGTGTCGGAAACATTTGACAATTCATTATTATTGCAATTATCACCAAAGATATCGTTGAAAGTGATTTTGAATCTTTTATTTATATCATTTTCGTAGTTATCAATTAGTTCATCGCACGACATCATTGTTATCGGTTCCCATGTATTGTTTTCGGGGCTAAAATTTAGCCATTTTAGTAGATATTCAACTTTACCATTGATTACGCGTTTTTTAATTACTTTTTCCACTTCATATTCTGGCTCTGAGTCGTCCATCTGTTCCGATCCCTCATCCGATTCACTGGTTGACAGATATTTTTCAGTGTTTGCGTTAATTGGATTCAATACAAATTCAGTTGTCATATTTGATTTAATAAATCAATTTAAATTTAAGTTTTTTGAATTAATAATAAAAGTAATGTATAAGTCATCTCCTAAATAACTCAAATTTCTATAACTGTTTTTCAATTATTCAAAAGTTTGATTAAGTTATGGATTAAAAAAAAATTATTATTAATACTGAAATAATATATTGTTAGTTGTTTTTGACTTTGAATATTCAAAATATAGTATTTAATAATTAATCATATGATAATCACTCAAAAAATAAAATGATAAATCATTGATATAGATTATTCATAAAGTTTATTTAAATTAATTTTTATCTATAATAAATTATAATTTACTAATATATTTTATATTTATTTGTTAACAAACTCATAGCTGAAAATTATTATTGATACTTAAAACTCATTTATTTAAAAATAATGTAATATTACTAATTATTAATATTACAAGTTTATCATTTCGTACATAAAATATAATATAAATTTTAAACTGTGATTTAATTAGTCAAAATGATTATAATAATAAAGTATATAATATAAGTATTATTATTAAGTTTTACTTTGAAAATAGAGTATATAAATAGAGTTAAATTTATAAATAATTTAATTTCGTCTACATTTGATTTAATTGACGCAAAATGACTAATAATCAGAAACAAAATGCTAAGAGAAGTGGTCGCCAGAGACGACCTCCACAAAGACCAGTGTTTCGACCGCAACGTATGGCTCCGGCCCGACGTCTCAGACCTAATATAAGGACTAATAACGACGACGCAAGACTACTATTGTCTAATTTGGGAACAGATATATCTATTCAAGACATTAACCGACAGTTTTCAAAGTATGGAAAAGTGGCTAAAGTTGTGGTTCATCTCAACAACTTTGGAGTATCTGTAGGAACGGCTGAAGTTTGGTTTAGTAAAGGCGATGAATCGGCTTCTGCTAAAAGTAGACTAAATGTCAAAGATATCTTTGATGACGGTATCTATTATTGTTTTTTGCATTTATTTTTTTAATGTATAATTGAATTTATTATATGTTATTACTTATGATTATAGGACGTGTTGTGCGAATCGAGAGATTCAAGAATGTGATCGTAAACAGCAGTTTCTGGAAACACATCCTAAACGTGAGCGACAAATCATCAACAGGTCTATTGAAAGCGGCTCAAGAAATCATCAAAAAGTTTTGATTATTTTAATAACAACTGCTTTTGTGACAAATTATACCAATTAATATGCAAACTATTGACATTATAAAATTATATGATTATTATAAAAATTATAATTAGAAATTAATTTCTAAATTATTATTAATTGAATATTTAATATAACATTGAAATTGTTAAATTATATCTATTATTAATTGGTTACAATTATTGTAATATTTTTTTATTTGCTATTGTATTCAAATAATGACAAAATAATAAATAAAATGATTAAAATATAAAATTTATTATTTTATATTATACAAAATTTATAAATATAAGCCTATATAATTTTTTAAATTATTTTATGCTAAAAATAAATAGCAATTCAATATTGCTACATTTTTGATATATAACATATTTAGCAATATTGTTTTGTTAAAGTGATATTCAATTATATATCACGTGAAATATTATATTAATGATTGTCATATATTAATATATCAAATATCTATATAATTAACATAACATATGATATTAGTCTAGCATTCCTTATTATAGCAATTTGCTTATATAAAAACTATGACTTTCAGAGATGTTAAACATAACTGAAAATATAGTGATAGAGTCATCAAATAAATTGTTTTTCAGACATGAATAACAAATTGCTGGCATCTTATCATAAGTTTTTATTGTCAATGATTCCGGTTATATTCTAGGGTTGGCCATCTTATACTGGTGCTCACCATTGATAAGCAATAATCATATGATAATAAAAAGTTGACATTTAATATGATTATAATGATATTTATTGTGTCATCATTTATGCTTTTATTAATCATTATATTTGCCACTAAAACGATTCACAAAAAAAAGTCGGAACAGAGTTATCAACAGATAGAGAATTAGCCATTTGTAACATCGATATTAACAATAACCATAACTACGATAATATCACTAAATATATCAATCAATTTACTTAAATAAATGTTAATAAAATGAAATAAAAATTATGAACAATAGATCTATCAAATACACATCAAATTGAATTATTTACTGATGAATCACTAGCTTATGATGACTTATACTATGGTGACCAACAAAAGAGAACTTATGATAATCGCGACCATATTTATGAGATATCATACAAAGTTATAATAATCATATTTTTATCAATACATTATCAAATAATATTTGTAATTCAAAAATCTATATATTTACAATTTTCTAATTTTATTTAATGAAAATAGTTTTTAAGATTTATAAATGATTCAGATTTTTTTCTAAATAATTTTGATCAGTCCTTTATAGTCAAATTATATCATTTTGAAATTAATTTAATAAACTATTGTAATTTTATTCTGTTTTAAATAATAATTTTTATATTAGTAATAATTTGTTTTATTTTATTTATAATTTGATTTTTCTAAATTTATTTTATTGTATACAATATTAAAAACTTGTTTATTACAATTTATAATGCAATTTATAATATTTACAATTTTAATTAAATAAACCTATTGAGTAGATTATATAAATATTATAAATAATGTATAGCTTACTAATGTATTTACACAATTGATATCCTAATAAAAATTGTTATAAACAAATCGATATTTACATAAATTTAAATAATTGTAAACATTATTATATTAGCGTATTTATATAAATTATATATATATTACACATTTATTTCACTATATTGTCTCATAAGCTCCACGGGAGCCGACATTTTTGGTGATAATGTGTATAACATGTGATTTACAATTTACAATATGAATGAATGATAATAATTTAAATAACTATTTATAATTATATACATATAAAGTATATTGTATTTTTCTATTTACAATTATATACAATGATATAGTTAAGAATAATCATATATTACAAATTATGATACATTTTAAGTTCAAATCTAATTAAATAAATTATTAGATCTAATATATTATATCCCAAAAATCAGATTGTCTCATTTTGCTTTTATAGGCATATATACACTTAAATACCTTATGTAACCTAAGTATATAAAGTATTTAATAAAATTGAAATTTTGAGCTTTTTTTTGTCACACACACAAACACACACACAAAAGCCCAGAAATACTATGTTTTATAATATAATTAAATATAATTAAATTTTATAAATTAGTTTTACTTGTTATGTCACAAATAAATAATTCACACAACAATCAAGCAATGTATTGTGCTAGATTATAGACATTTAAAAATTTAATAATAATTATTTCAGATTTTTAAAAATTTGTAATGATTTTTATGAGTCATTCAAATAAGGCGTCCACATAAGCTGGGTAGAAGTGGGCGGGGGGTTAATGAGATTAGTAAGCTTGAAAAGTATTTATAAAAATAAAGATTTTTGTGAATTTTATGGAATAGTTAAAAATACTAACATAAACCAAACTGGACTCTTATTTAAAATGACTAAATAATTTTTATCTAGACATTAAAGTTATAATAAAATATTTTATAATGCTAAAATACAATGTATTTATAAAATGATTATTGTTATTATTGATACCAAACTTGAATTTTATAGTTTAATTAAAAATGCAAATCTATATTAAATGCTAAAAAGTGTTGTTAAGCGTATGTTTATCTCAATATTGACTATAAATAAAGTATTCATTTGTTGAGCAATTACTCAAGTGTTCAATAAAACAATTTGTGTTATTAGATAAAACATTGTGTGTTTATAATGCGACTAAATGTCAAATTTAGTATAAATGTCTAAAATGATTAAACAATAGAGTTGGACAAATAGACATTTTTAATAAATTTCCAGAAAATTTCTCAAAAATTAATTTCTATAAAACTCTACTTTATTTAATATACATAATTATCATGGTGATTCAACAAACAAAAATTTTTAGATTCTAGAATTTTTTTTATTTTATAGAAATTTATCTGTTTGACCAACTCTATTAAGCAATGTTTAATAAAACTATTTTATGGTTAATTTAATATATAATAAATATATAACATAAAAATAAAAACTAAATACATTGGAATTTAATATATTTTATATAATATGATATAATAGATAATACATTTCGAAAATTCTCAAAAACTAATTAAAATTAATAAAAATTTGTCAATAAAATTATAATTTATTAATAGAATGCATAGAGTAATACAGTATATTAATATTATTTAGAAATAATTTCTAAAAAGTGAAAAAATTTGTATACCTAAGATATTATAATTTTATATTAGTACCGTAATCTAAATTTTATATTAATAATAACAATAATAATCTCATATTTCATTATTTATTTTATTGTAAAGAATGGATGGAATTTATTTTATGTTTTTACTAATTATACATTTCTATTATAAAATGATTTTATTTAAACCAAAAATATAAAATAAAAATATTATTTTTCAATTCTGTCTATTGATAATTCAAATAATAGATATATAAAGGAATTCAATATCTATTCAGTTATCAGAATTTGTTGACTCTTAGCTATAAATAATGGAATTTAAGATAAAAATATTTTTATATCCATTTATATCTCAAATTTCATTTCACTTCAAATAATATTACTTAAAACCTATGTTATCTCTCATTGTCATTAAATCTCTATATATTACTCAAGTATAATGCAAATGCAGTGCTTTAAAGTTTAAAGTAAATGCATTTAAAATTTAATTTCAATTTTCTCAAAATTTTGTTGTTTTAATTTGTCTATAAAAGCAATTTTAATTGTTTAGAAAATTATATTCATTATACTTTTAACGCTTGATTTGTTGTATTTACTATAATTATTTGAGTTATTGAATACATATTGTATGAATAAATATTCAATTAACGTAGTATTTGATAGCAACAAATAAATTAATAAAATAAATAAAAAGAAATGAATCAATGATTTCTATAAATGAGATGAAAAGTGCTGACATTTGATTTCCTTTAGTAATAATATATTATTATTATTATTATTATTATTATTATTATTATTATTATTATTATTATTATTATTATTATTATTATTATTATTATTATTATTATTATTATTATTATTATTATTATTATTATTATTATTATTATTATTATTATTATTATTATTATTATTATTATTATTATTATTATTATTATTATTATTATTATTATTATTATTATTATTATTATTATTATTATTATTATTATTATTATTATTATTATTATTATTATTATTATTATTATTATTATTATTATTATTATTATTATTATTATTATTATTATTATTATTATTATTATTATTATTATTATTATTATTATTATTATTATTATTATTATTATTATTATTAATATATATATATATATATATTAATAATATTGAAATATTATTCAAGTAGTGGACGGATATGTCGGTGTAATCTTAATGAGCACTCATTGTTCACACAAATGAATATCAAATATTCTGGCATTTAATTAGACAAATGTGTCGACAAATTTTGATGTATATTGAGGCAAATGTGTATATAAGTAGATTTTCTCGTAAATATTTGTATAAATTGATTTTCAAACTTGATATTCAGCTTTTCTCATATCTATAATAGAAAACAAAAGACATTAAATTTAATATTAATTATCAAAAAATAATTTTAAAAATTAATACCGAGAAGACTTCCGGGTGTCCCTAAACTACATATTAAATCATTATGAGCTAAAAATAAAATAAAAAGTATATTAGTTTTATTTTTTTATGATATACCAGTAATCATTTTTTTCAATAAATACCTTTAATATTATTCTGAGATGATCTGGCAATACATTAATGAAATGGATTGATTGAAATGTAAAGTATAAAATGCATTTAAAACACAAACACATTCATTAAAACATGAAATTAAATTTTAAAAAAAACTAAAACCAATTATGAACTTACTGTTTGAGTGTAACGGGACTTCCGCCGTGAGAATGACTACCATTGACGCCGTCCATCACAGGACAAGTGACCATCATATATGCTATAAATCATTTATATATATATTTTTATAAATATTTAATTAATTTATTTATTGATTAAAATTTTCAATAAAACCTTTTTCTAGTTTACGTCTCTTTCTTTTGTTACATATTTTAACGGTACAAACACTTAGTATAATAGCGGCCACAAAAAATAATACACTACCGACTATACCGGCAGTTATAGCACGCGGTCCTCTCATACCTTCCGGTCCTAAAAAATAAATGTAATTTATATACATTAAAAAATTAATTTATTAATTAAATTCAAATAATAATACCTGTAATTTTGTAATCAATGGATTGTCCGATATCTCCAATACCTAATATATTATATGCATTGACACGTATAGTATATTTTGATCCCTGTTGTAAATCTTTAACTGTTTAATACAAATTAAAACAAATTAGTTATAACTTAAACATTAATGAAAATTCTTCGTATGACTGACTCAAGTAAGCCGTGTCTTTGGAAATGGCTTCGGAAGTGATCCACTTTTCATCGCCTTCTTTATATTCAACTGTATAATAGGCCACTTGTGTAGACTTGTCTAATGGAGGTAACCACGAAACCACCCATCCCTGAGCCATCTTCTCAATCGTTACATTACGCACGTGTCCAGGCTTTGGACCGGTAGGCGCTGCTGTTGTTGACGATGGTAAAGTTGGTTCAGCTAATGTATCAGTAGTGCCTGATTTTGTATTTTCCTCTTTAAAATAAAATATAAAAATTCATATAAATTTTTCATAAACTATCTTAAGTAACTGTTTGACGCACCGGCAGGTTGTATAGGAGAATATGTAGAACCGTATGCATCTGTTGGGTATTGACTATTATTACCGTCCCAGCCTAAATTAATAATTAAATATTGTATAGATTTTTAATAATTTTAATTTAATAATTTTTCATTCACTTACTCTTAGTTCGGGCTCTTATTATATTAGAGCCCATTCCCCGACCCAATGAATTAGAGGCAAAAACTTGAAAATCATATTCAGTGTCGGGTTTCAAGTTATATATAGTGAAGGCAGACGTAGCTTCCGGTGGCCTTAATGTCATCCATCCGGTCTCGTCTTCATCGGAAAACCGATAACTTTTGTTATAAAAAATTGAAAATTTTAATATAAATTTATAAGATTATCTAAATTATCAACGAATTCAACGATGAATATACCGTATGCTGAAGTGTTGTTGATGTCCGCCATCGTGATTGGGAACCCACGTCACGGTTGCTGCAAAGGCACTGGTATTAACCGATACATTAGTCGGTGCGTGTGGTGTCGTACCTAATAATTGTTTGATTATAAGAGAAAATCAGTTAATCATTATTAGTTTTACTACTTAATAAATGTCGGTAATAATAAATAGTAATGATTATTACTATCGACAAGTAGTGTAGTTGATGTAACTAATGTGGCGATAATGTTGTCCAAAACACAGTCATACTTTCCGTGATCTTCCTTTTTGATGGACTTTATCGTCAAATTACCGGAACGTATGAATGTCCTATCCTTTGGCAACTTTGAACCATCAGTCTGTCAAATGATAAAAGTTTGTCATTCATGTTATAAGTATATAACAAATATTAGTCATACAGTGTTTAATTTAATAATCATACATTTAAATCATTGCTACATTTGAGTATAAAACTATTGATATAAATATTTAGTATACAGTGTTTATTATATACATTATTATATTATGTATATATTTATAAAAATTTAATCAATTTTGTTTGCATCAATTGATATGTTAAGCCATTTAAAACATTAATTTTAAATTGAATTTCCTTATCAAATGATGAGATGTCATAAAATTCAATAATAAATAAGGTTTGCCCTCTCTTTCTTAGATTTTCTATTAATATAATTGCAAACTTTGACTATAAATTATTGGCAAATGACTTTACAATTGAATTAAGACATGAAATTGATATATAAATTTTGGTATCAATTTGATAGTTGTATATAAAAAATATCTAACAAATAGCTAACAGATAAATGATTGGATCGGGTTTTTTAATTCAGCAGATCTAGTGGTCAACAGAGAAAAGACCATTCATTTATTTTTTTGTGAACAACACAATAGCATTAGACCAACAATAAGATGTATATCCTGACTGACTGTCCCCTACAAAACCAGTGCCACACATATGAAACACATCTCTAAGCTCAACATTATTTCATTTAATGTGAAATCGATTTTTTTCTTTTACAACAACTCGTGTTTGACAACCAAAATAAACTGATAATAATAACCATCACATATAAGAGTATATCTATATAATTATATAGAAATTCTTATAAAAAAATAAATTTTGCATATAATAAATGTTGAAAATTGTTAAATTTAATAAAATAAACAATAATTTGCTTTTCTATAAACTCAAATATTAATTTTAATATATTTTTAAATACATTATATCCATTAGCATTGTATGGGAATTACATAGTGACATAAATAAATATACAGTATACTGTATATATATATATATATATAAAATATACAATTTTATATAAAATGAACTACTAATCCTTTTTGAAAGATTATTATTAAGGTCGCCTTTTTATATTAAATTATATTTATATAAAAGTATTACATAAAAGAGAAGGTATGTGAAGTTAATACTTGAAAAAACATTTTAGCATTTTATAAGATTTAACTTATTTTTATGACATAAAATCTAGTTTCCAAAATAAGCATTTAAATAATAATCTTTATATAAGGCAAATATAGCGTATAGTTACCATATATTACTGTAGGTTTGCATGTTTTTAATATACAGTAGTATAATACTGTATCACTGAGTGAAACAATAATAATATGATTACGAGTAGTGTAACATTATTACTAATAAAAGTTATAACACAGTCATCTCTGGCTATTTGAATTTTATCCTAAATGCAAACCTTTACAAAATGCTATGGAAATGTAATGGTTTTATAAAATAGTGATTATATTATTATACAATTACTATTAAATGTGTCTATTTTTATGGTTCCCAACCATTAATCGATACAAAAGTTATGACCCAATTCTTGGTTATCAATGAAAGCAAACTTATTTGTGTCTCTATTTTTGTCTGCATTTCTCTTACAGTCATATAATCATTACATTTAGTTTGCCATTCATTTATCACATGTCTGTTTGGCATTTGAAGCACAAAAGCCATTCATCGCATATCAAACATTGGTTTATACAATATATACATATATTTATTGATACAATATTTATATATAAAGTATATATAAACCGCAATCCTTTTTGACCTAAAGATTATCCTCTGATAAATGACATGTGACTTAAATGCCTTAAATAACAATATATTATATAAAAAACATTTTGCATTTAATATCGGGTCAGTAGTCTTATCGTAAACACAAATACATACAATACAATACATTAAATCAAACATAGATTTAAAATAGAGATATAAATATAAATAATCATAACTTACTTTACGCCAAGTAATGATTGGTTTTGGATTACCGACGCCATCGCAGGCCATTATAACATCACTTCCCACTGGCTTCTGGTAAAATTCGGGCGGTTTTATGGTAAATATTGGAGGTTCTGGACAGTCAAAGATAACATATATTAGTTTATTATTATTGAGAAGTCCATTAAACTATTATTTGTTTACTAAAAAAAATTTTATTTGACTTTATCTTAAACACACTCATCATCTCATTCGGTCATTGCTTTAGACCTCAATATTTGTAATGTAATATAATGTATGATATACTGTACAGTATATAAATTGTAAAATAGTAAAGTAAATAAAGTCAAATAAAATAGTTATAAAGTATCTATATTTATGTTTATGTATGCTTTTCTTTTTTTTATTTACGGATATAATAATCAGTAACGATAGCCAACAAAATAGAAAAATAAAGAATATATATATATATATATAAAGAGATATATAATATTTGAAAAATGTTTGATGACTTTTATCCGATGGATGAACCAAATGTTATGTTTTTCATATGAACTTCTAAAAAGTCGTATATTTTATATGTTATAAAATATTTTTTAAAAAAGAGAAAAAATCTGTTTTCATATCATTTGAAAGGAAGTCTTTGCTCTCAATATTTTTTAGCAAAAAAATTAATGGAAAAGAAGTAATTTTTTGTTTGTTTTATATTTTTGACTCACATTTTTACAATCCGCTAAACACTAGATTTTTTGTGCTTTACTACAAACTTTAACAGAGTATTCAGTAAATAATAAAAATCGATTTTTCAATAAATAAATGTATTTAAGGCACAAAAATTATCAAATTTATTATATAATAACAAAAAAACATAAATTGTGTTAAAAGTAGTGTCGATGATATTTTTAGCAACAAATTCGGAACTAAATTTTATTTTATTGATTACAAAGTCAGATGCCATCACATTAAATGGTTTGCCATTTTAAGTCATTATTAGATATCAATTTTTCATTGACATCAATAGCATTGAATGCGGAAATTAGTTTAAATATATTATAGAATATATGATATTTTTGATATCACTATAAATGTCATTTTCTAACCAAAAATATTATACATTCATCCTATGGTTTATTCATCATTTGAAAACATTATTAACAAAAAAATATCTCATATTTTAAAGTTTGCTATCAATGAAATTATGTTTGCAGAGACATATAAAGTATATATTTATTTCAATATATTCTTAAGCTTTAGTGCTAACATTTAACGAATCGATAAGTTATTATTAAAAAAAGTTAATCTTTATATTTATATCTATAGTAAATTCAATTTATTAATAATGTTTAATTTGATACATTATGACAATCTGATTCATATTAGTCATATCAATATTAGATTACAAATATTAATTTACTATTTATATGAATTCAATTATTATTAATTTATAAAGTATTAATAATATTTATAATATAATATCATTTATGACTTACCCCTAACAAAGACCTCCATCACAGACGATGTGCCGGCAGTTCCGTGAAGATTATAAGGAGTGCACCGGTATCTGCCCTGATGTTCATGAGTGACCCTTTCAAATAGTAACGACCCGTTAGTAAGTGCTTTGACGCCCGGGTGATCAATCGGGTCGAAAGCTCGTCTATCACGAGTCCACGTAACGAACTGAAATGGAGGCGACGCCTGTATGAAACATCGCACGACACCCGACAACCCAAATGGCAAATATTGCATTGAAGGCGAGTATGTGACGCGTGCCGGGTCTTAAAAAACAGATTAACATATTATGCAATTATTAATTAATGGCATTTAAATGCTATATTAATCAAACAGTTTCCATACATTCGATGGTTAGGTAAGCACTGGCGGTGTCGGGATCGCCGATACCATTGAAAGCATCACAAGTAAACTTTCCCGTGTCCTCAGCAGAAGTCGGGTTTATTAGAAGTGTTCCGTCCTTTTTGACGACTGTTCTCGTCACGAGCCACGACAGCTGCGATATTTCAATGCCTTTGTGGAACCACCTATAGGTGACATTAGCCGGCAAAGCCTTGGCCTCACACGTGAGCTCCACTTTGTCGCCCTCTAGTTTGGTTGTGTTTTTTGGCGGTAACGATATGACTGCAGGACCGGCTACTATGACTTTGGTGTTGGCCGTTACCGACCCCTGACGGTTCTTTGCCACGCACTGGTAGTCACCGATATCTGATTCGCCCAAATTCTCAATACGCAACTCTGATCCCACAATCTTTATGTTTGTTTTCGTTTCAATTGGAAGATTGTCCTGAGTTTAACATTTTTATTACATTTAATAAATAATGATTAATAATATAATTTATATATATATTATACAAAATTAGTATTAATATTATATTAATCGGACACACCTTTTGCCAGACAACTGTTGGTGAAGGCGTACCCACAGCTATACAGTTGAGCGTTAGAGTCGACCCGACCCTTACATAGGAAAACTCAGGCGGTTTGGACTCAAAATGTGGCGGTGCTATCAATATATACAATCCATTAATTATTAATAATGTTTATTATGATATTCATTAACAAAATTATAAACAATAAATTTAAATATTTTCACCTAGACAATTTTCAGTAATTAGCCAAATATAATGTATATATTAATATACTGTATATGATATATACCGGTATATACTGTACATACAAACAGTTTTGTATACAAAAGTATTACTCATTATCGATTAAATTTGCAGTTTTAAGAATTAAGTAAAATTATATTATTTATTAATTTGTTTATCCAAAGTGTCATTAAAAAGACAAATTTTATTAAGAAAATATAATGTGTTTATTATGAATTACTGAATTTTTTTAATAACTATATTAAATAATTATTTATATACAATATTTATAAACATATACTATAATATCAATTGTACTATTGTTACATTATACTGTAAATAAATTAAATAATTTGTTTAATATTCAAATTAATTTTTCGGATATTAAATGATTATAAGTGTAATTAACTAAAATTATTAATTTGTATTCAAAGTATTATGCTTTAGTCACTCATTCTATATATTATAGTAATAAAGTTTTATATAGTTTTAGATAAAATAGTTTGTAATTCAAATATGTAGTATTATGTGAAATGTATTTACAATTAGCTATAAATATTAATATAATATCATATATATTAAGCAAAACTACTGTGTTTTAAATATTTATTACTAATGATTTTCATAACTTTATTATATTAATGAAATGCATTTTTATTTCTCTGGCAAACATTTATTGATTTGAATCTCATCTTTTTCATATAAACTTGATTTAATGTAATTACAAAAATGTTTCAAAAATTTATAATTTAATAAAATTGTAAATGCAAAATATTTGTTAATTAAAATAGTTTATTTAGTTATTTAATTCATTAGTAACTTAAAAGTATAACTCAATAATTAAATATGAAATAGAATTATAAATTAAATTAAACATTTTATATATTATATCTTAATGTTATAATTAAACATTTAGTTTAGTTTAGTTTAGCTAAAACTTAGTATAATTACAATAAAAACATAATTACTACAATACATAGTAAGGCTATAAATCCTAAAACAAACTACTAGTGTTTGTAATGTTAAGCTAAATAATGGTTTCAAATTAACACAAACACACACCATATAAATTGTTTGGTGGGTTTGTATCCAAACATTTACATGAAATTACAATTTGTCCGACAGTTTTACGCTGACTAAGCGCCTGTTTTAGTGACATTCAAACAGTCAATATTGTTATTTACTTTATTATTCAGACAATAGTTTGTTGAGAACTCTTGTATTTATAAACCAGTATATGAACGACGAGAATATTAAATAAGAATCAATATTACTGTATATCCTTAATAATAATAATAATGAAATATTTATACTAAAACTAATAAAAAATATCTAAATTATAGAAATATATATCTTATCAAAACATCATAACAATACACTCTTTATTATTATATTTAAAATATTAAAATTGCTATATTAAAAATTACTAATATTTATATATTTCTAATAAAAGAAAATTAAAGTTTCATGATATACAAAATATAAAGTTATTTATAAATACAATGAATTATATGTGTATTATAAATACTGAGTGTATAAAACTTGCATTTATTGTAAGTTATTGTCAAACATGATATAAATAATAGATAAGATATACTATATATAGTACAGAATATTTGGCATTACAGTGGACTTAACATAAAATATTAAAAGCTACCGAAGTTATAGCGGCGCATAAATGTTATACTCATGACTGACTCAAACTAACATTAGAAAAATAGGGAACAGCAGCTATGGTATGATATAATAGGTATGAAAAAAAAGACAAAGTTATACAAACCGTGAACATCAAGTAAAACAAATGTTCCGTTTTTTAATTGATCATTTGCTTGGTTAAGGAAATACACTTTGCACTCATACCAGCCCTGATCGGACTCGCGTACGTTCGACAAGTTAAGTGAGGCCTCTTTTGTCGGGTTGGTTAGCGCTACCCTACCCTCATAGCCCTCTCCCAAATGAGGTGGGTATCCATCGTACCAAATATAAATTGGTATTTTGACGCCTTTTTTCTGCCAGTGTATAACATACGGCACCTCAATCTTGTCGGGAAAATCAAAGGCACAGTTGAACATCACATTATCGCCCAAATTGGCTGATATTTTCGCATGTGATTCATCTGATGTGAAACCTATCAATACATTTATGTTAATATAATAAACATTTTTATATATTTATAAATATTTCATTCTTTCCTATTAATAGCAAATTCAATACAATATGAAATCAAATATTTATTTTAGAAAATAAATGTTATGGTTTCTAAATAATTATTTTTAAAATATAAATATATTGTATTAAAATCGTTAGATTCTATTTTTATTTCAATTTCAATCTTTATTTTTTCAATAGAATTATTAAAATATTTAACTTTTATAAGAAATAAATCGTTAATTTTGTTGTAAAATAAAATATATGTTTTTAAATCACGAATATACCTGTAATCGTGAAATATTAAGAAGTTATGGATAAATTTTTTTTATTGTCTGAAACCATTTAATTATATTATGGTTTAGATTGTGATTTATTCGATACATAGGATAACAACAATTATTGAATAAAATTAAATGTTAGTTCAGTTTTTAAAAATGTTCATTAATAAAAAATTATAAAAAATGTAAAAATAAATTTATAAATATTTTAACTTTATAAGTTTAAGTTAAAAATATAAAAAATATTTTAAATATAAAATTTAGATAATTATACTGTATTCAATTGTACTGTATGTTCACAAATTCAATGCTTAGTTTAAGATTGTGATCTAAAATTATACAAAATTTAGTAAACTTTTAATTATTTTTTAAAAAAAAGTTTTGTAATGATACTTAGTTACATTATAGTAAAATTAAAATAACTAATTACATAAAGTAAATTATATAATAAATAAAAATACTTTAATTTCATGTATTTTGTCTCATGAGATATTGTAATGACATTTGAGACTTTATAGACAAATATGGATAGTTTGAGTACAATAATAATTAGTATTATATTGTATGAAAAATGTGATTTTTAAAATAAAACTTTTGATAAACAATATATTATACAAATTAGTACAAACAATGAACTGATGGTTATGTCATTAATATCATCTTAAAATATATGATTACAATTTAAATAATATTAAAATTTTTATGTATATTTTATTGTTAAAATATTTTTTAAATGTTTATAATTTGATAAATAGCATCAAAATTGTCGTTAACTATGTATTCATGGATAATATAAAAAGAAATATATAAAAGAAATTTTTGAATTTAAAGTTCATTACATGTGATGACATCAGAGAGTAGACAATGTTATATACATTTTGTTCATTCAAACGAAAGTCATATCAATTTGATGACTAAATTTCCGACACATTTTTAGGTTTCACTGATTAAGTAATTGCTTATACAGTATAACCTGAGCTCATGTAATAAATTGAAAAAAAGTTAAAAGTTTTCAACGACTTTGTTTTGTAATAACTTTATTTTGATTTTAAATTATAAAAAGTAAAATGGATGTCTCTTTGAGAACCTATTTAGACAATGAATTTAATTTAAGTCATGACTTGTTTTTTATAAAACCATTTTTATAACAAAGAAAAACTAAGTAAACTATTCTTTAAATAAAATAAAATAAAACTAAATTTTATTTTAAAAATATTTATATAAAATTTTTGAAAGCAATAAAAACGAAAAACTAATAAAATGCTACAACAATAAGATATAATAATAATTTAAATTATTTAGTTTATTTACATATAGTCTTTCTAAATAATTGTATTTAAATAAAAAACAATTCATATAAATTGATAAAAATAATTATAAATCAAATATTTTTATATACAATATATAAATATATTAATAAGTGTATATTATAATAATAAAACAATTTTATACTTTATGAACTTAATTTGATGCGGATATTGAACTTAACTTTAATTAATATATACATTGTACATTGTAAATACATTGTAAACCTATTTTTGTTTTTATTCGAATTGTATTATACAATAAAAATTAACCATGGTTAAAATGAGTTAATTTTTAATAATTGTAAATCAGTTAATACATGATAAGAGATTGTAATTGATTTCTTATATTAATATTTATATTATATTTAAACTTCTCTTATGACTTGCAAACAGTTAAATGATATATCGATTAAGTTTATGATTACTGCAAATGTCTTTCTGTTATTTATATTATTAAAACATTGAAATTTAGTGAATTGTGTTTCACTAAAGATAAAGAAATTAAATTAAATTTTAAGTCAATTTTCTAGTTATGTATACTCAAAATTTATAAGTTTCACCTTAATTTAGTTTAAACATAATTTTTATCAATATATACAATAGAAAATGTTATTAAAATATACATTAAAGTTAGATTGTATCTAAAACTGATTGTTATATCATATACTAATTTATATACAATTTGATACTTTTATATTAATTACATGACTCTTCATCAATGACTTCAATGACTTTTTACGTCTGAGCCATTGAGACTGACTTTGATTATTATAGAGATAATTGAGAAATAAGATTAAGTTTGTTTTGTTTTGTTTAGTTTCGCATAGTTTGTAACTTTCATTTCCTTTTGTAAATGAATACAATCTTTAGTACTACTTATAGTATAACAAATTGTTAAGTCAAATGTGAGAGTTTAACAATTTATTTAATAAATGCTTCGTATAAACATTATTTCCTATTAAAATGGACACAAAGAGAGAGAGAGAGAGAGAGAGAGAAATTAGAGCAATATGCTGTCCACAAATAAAATATATTAAAGATCATATTTTTATAAGTATTATAGTTTGGTTATAGTTTACTATTTTATGAAATAACTTTTGATATAAAATATCTACAGATATCGGATCATATGAGATGAGCTAAGAATTAAAGATATATATATATAGTATATAAGACAATCAATAGTGCACTAAAAATGATTACTAAATAGACATCACAGAGACAAATAGACAAATAGACATCTATTTGCTATAAATATTTGTCATATAAAGTTAACACATAATATAAATTACAAATAATTGCATATTTATATGATAGTATGTTTTTAATTAATACTAGCTATTTTCAATCTGCATAAATATTCAATAAAATTATAACAGTACTAAAAACAGTAAATCATTAATGATAATGATAGTTTTTATATAATAGTAAATTATAATAATATTAGTAATATAAATTGTAAAACCATATAAAATAATAATTATAATAATAGAATTAGTACATAGCATCAAAATTTTGTTTAATTTTTGACAAAAATTAGTGTATGATATAGTTATGACAGACCACCATAATAAAATAGTATAATAAATTGAATATATTGTATTGAAAAATTGAGTATAATCACTGCTATAATATCAATATTAAGTTATACCATAAATTAAAAATATTCAATAAGTATATAAAGAACAAAATAATATTATTATTATAATTCACTTCAATTAATTAATACATCATAAATTAAATTTTTCATAAATTAATAAATAAAATAGCAACAAATTAGAAAATGCATTAAATAAATAAATATATGAATGTGTAAAAAATTAAAATTAAATTACTATATTTCTCTAAGTTTATAAGTTGTATCAAAAAACTAAAACTAATTATTTTTTTAAATAAAAAATATACAATATAGTAGTATAATATTAATTACTTTAATATGTATATAATATAGCATTTGGCTTTATAATTTAGATAGGATATAAAAATAATGTATTACTATACAGTAGTAAATTTTCTATTTATATATAATTTTTAATTATATAAATAATACTTGTACATAATATAATGAACTATTGCATATAAAATATTTACATATTTATATAAATTTATTTTTATTATATCATTCTTTTAAGTTTATTTAACTTATTGTACTGTAATTATGATCAGACAATATATTTTTATATATGTAATGATTTCATAACAATTGATACAACAGAATAAAAACATTTTCATTATTATAATTTATACGACTGTTTAATATTATGGTCGACTGATTATTAGATTAAAGTTATTGGAAAAATGGCATAAAATGTGACACAACTTTTGATGAATTATATATAACACAACAAAAACAGTTTTATATTATATCATATATTTAATGGTGACCAAACACATACCATATTACTCTAGATATTAAATTATTATATTAATAAACTAAATATAATATAATTTATGATTATTTATAAATTAAAGTTTTTTTTTTATTTAAACATTTGTATTATACAAATAAGCAAATTTTTATAATGTTGAAAAAACAGAGACATTCAGTAATCATAGTTATGCAATTGTTTATATAATATATATTAATTAAATAATGTAATTATATATAAAACTAATAGAAAATTGTAATAATGTATATTGCTATGTTACAGTGGATTCGACAAATTATCATAAAATTTAAACATTTAATTAATCAAACTAACAATAAAATTAATGATTTTTAATACACATCATAAAATACTATTTATGAAAAATTAATATTTTTAATGAGTTGCATACCATAAATAAAGTATTATATATATTTAATATTATAATACCAAAAACAAGTGTTAAAATATTAGAAAACTAATTATTAAAACATTTCTTTCAACAAATACATTTGAGATTATGTTACGTATTATATATTTTTTAGATAATTAGCTAATTATGAACACATTAAATATAAATATAAAGTATTTCAATTTTATATTTAACTTTTTTATCTAATAAAAATGCAATTATTTGCAATTAAAAAATATTCAAATATCTATATTTATCTATAATTTAAATACTTTATAAAAATATTGATTGTAAATTTTAATTATTAAAATGTGAATGCTCATTAAGTATTGTTATTACAGAGCTATAGATAAATAGATGAAATATCCATTAAATTTAATGAATTATAAATGATATTGAAAACTATTATATATATATATTATATGATATTTTATTTATATAAATAAAGTTTATATAAAAGTTAAATAATAATAATATTTCAATTACATAATAATGTACAGTATTTTCAAAATAGTAATTTTAATTTATTAATGTAGTCTATAAAATAACTGTAAATACCATTGTATAAACTGAATAAAAATATTCAATATAAATTCATTACTTTAAACAAATTT